TTTAATGCACATGCACAAGAGAGTTAATTAAGGCTGTATGGGCAACTTTAATTATAGCATTTCCTAATTCTTGTGTGAGAGAAGCTGAGGGACTGGGCTCTCAGCTCCTCTGCCAGTTCCTTGCTGTAAGTCTTGCTATTCCACAAGTTCCTGGGTTCCCAGCAGGCTGCTGATTTCCATTCCCCACCAGGAGCAGAGGTACTCTCTCAGGGATTCTTGGACATCTTGCCCATTATCGGCTGAGAGCCAGACAGCTTAGTCAATTTCATGGTTTCAGGATAGAAAATGCCTGGCTTCTCAGTACACTGGGAGCAGAGTCCAGCCACAAGGCTTTTCATTCCAGCTCCTTCCAGGAAGCAGGTGGGAAGCAACCCAGATTTTTTGCCCTGGCTTCCAGCCTGGAGAGGGGTCCAGCCACCCACCAGTCCAGAGGAGCCAGGGGCAACTAGGTTCTGGCGCCTGGCTTTCTTGTCAATTTCAAGGCCCCTGCTGCAAAATTGACAAGAGATAATAGCCAATACATAAGTAACCCAATACTTACACAGACACTGACTATGCTGACATAAGTCTCTCGTGGAGATGGAGTTAAGGGTGTGTAATAGAGCACTTAAAAGGGCAAGAGCAAGGCCCATAACTAGGTTGGGGTAAGTCAGAGCTACTTAACATGCAGCCTGTGGCCTGTTCGTTTGTGGCCCGCAGTGCAGTTTGGGTGCAGGTGGGGCTCAACACACAACCTATCGGTGGGATCTTTTGAACATGGCCTCCACTGGGAACATGCTCCACAATGTTGAGGCATCTCCCACACGGGGTGAGCATTGAAAGATGCAAGCAAATAGGCTGGCTAGAACAGACAGTTACAGAATGTCAGCATTTCTAGCCCCCAGAGAAGAGGTGCTGGGAGTGCCGGGGCATTGTGGGAAGTGCTGGCTGCTTAGCCTTGTCGGCAGAGCCTGAGAGGTGCTGAGTGGCTCCCACTGGCCACGGCCGGGTCCGGTGCCACGGCCAGACAGCCCAGCTTCTGTCCCGCATGGAGTGACGGACTCCCATGTAGGGATGTCAGCCCTGCTGGGAATCCAGGACGATGCTCCTGGCCACTTGTCCTTTCTTGCCTTGTGTCCAGTCTGACTTGCCCACACGATGATCCTGGCAACTTGTCCTTTTTTGCCTTGTGTCCAGTCTGACTTGCCCAGCTTCCCACCTGCCACCGATTTGAGTGCTCTGGCTTGGCAACTTTTTCCCGAGTAAAATCAGTCTAAGAAATGCACAAACCGAAGCTTCCGGCTAAATATCCAAATGCTGGTATACAATTTTCTTGTTAAAAGTGCTCATTAACAGTGCTGTCATATGGTGGAAATTGGGTAAATATTGCATTTTATTAATACCAGCAGAGCTGACTTAAATGGAGCCTGTGCGTTGTGTAGTCTTGCCTCAATCATATTCATGCCTGTCAGTGTGAAAGAAGCTATTTCCCGGTAAATGCAACCACATTTAAGTTGTGGCCCTTGACATATGCAGTGAGTATCATTGTGACCCCTAGGGCTTCCAAAGTTGTGTAGCTCTGACGTGGCTTTACTTCAACCTTACGGTTGTACTGTACGGTTGTACTGTACGGTGTACTGTAGACCAGCCCATTGTTATATGTAATTTCAGCACATGCAATTACAGTATCCTTTTCCATAGGCATCACCAGCAGGACTGGAATCTTTCAATTCAGAGAAATAGCTCAAGCAATAAAGGCAAATAGAGTGAATGGAAGCCAACTGTAGAAACAGAGTGCCCAGGAGTGACGTTCTCTCTGGCCCTAGAACTGCTGCCCAGCCCCTTGAGCCCTGGGATGAAGCATGCTCAGATGCTTTGTGAGGATGGTGTATGTGTGCTCCAGCTGGCAGGTAGGAAGTGGGAGGTTCTGAAACATGCTTAGAATAGACAGAATCAGTGGAAGACTTAGCTACCCACTCTAGCAAGGTTCTCCAGAACATGAGTGAACATTATTTCTAGGGCTGTGTCTACACTGGTATGATCTTGCACCAAAGCAGCTGTTCTGGCGCAAAAACTTGCTGCCTGTCTACACTGGCTGTGTGTTTTTACGCAAGTAAACTGACGTTCTACTGTACGAAATCAGGGCTTCTTGCGCAAGAACTATGATGCTCCCACTCAGGAATAAGCCCTTGCGCAAGAGTCCAGTGTAGACAGGCCACATGAATTTCTTGTGAAAGAAAGCCCTATGGTTAAAATGGCCATCAGAGCTTTCTTGTGCAAGAGAGTGTCTACGCTGGCATGGATGCTTTTGGGCAAAAGCACATGCCAGTGTAGATGCTCTCTTTTGGAAGAGTTTTTGCACAAGAACTCTTCCGCAAAAGAGTTCTTGCGCAAGAAGCTGCCAGTGTAGATGTAGCCTAGATGTTTATAATGGGGAAGAAGTTTCAGAAAGCTACAAAAGGCACACCCTTGACATCCATGCAACCATCCTGCCTAATTTCACATCCCTGCTCCAAAGCATGTAGGCATTAGAGGTTTTCACTAGAGAACTGTTACTTTTGTCCATGTTGAAATTTTTTAACTCCATGTATTTCCCCCCTCCTAACCTGCTCAGAAACAGTTTAACAAAAATAACAACTGTAGGTGACCTACTAATGTGGAAAATTTTAGGGTGAAAAGTTCAAACTGGGCAGAGTCATAAGCAACTGAACCCAAGGTCTTCTAAGACGACATGGAGGGAGGGACAACCAGTAGTAGGCAGCCTTAGCTGCAGGAGCTCCTAACAAGCACAGGGACTCCATTTCTTCAATGAGGTGGAAGAAACTTGTTTTGTTCGTTTCTCTAGCTTGGGAAAAGACTGCTCTAAACTGAAACTGCAGCAGAACCAGTCAGGGGCACAAGGAGGAACACATGGAGAAAAAAGGCTCAGAAAAATACCAGCTCCTATGTTCTCACCCCACTCACAGTGCTAGCTGTTGTAGAAGGCCTGGGGCAAAGGGAGTTGCAAAAGCACCTGTATGGGAGACTTCGGCAAATCCAATAACGTGCCTGAAACACTACTGCTTACTGCTTGAACTTTAGCAACCAAGCTAACAGGCCCAAAATAGGCCAAGACAGCATGACCAAGTCAGGGAGGGGGAAGAAGGGAGAGTTTGGGTGCCACAGAGAGGGCAGCTTGACCCTGCGTCCTTCCTGAGGCCCAAATCTCTAGTGAAATAGCTGAGCTATGCATTAAGAAAAAAAGGGAGGTTGGCTAAATGCCCTAAGACATATATCTATAAGGGCCCCTGAGCATGAAGTCTCTGAAAAAGAGGGGAAAAAAAGAAAAAAATCTGGTGACAGTGATGATCAGAAGAAAACCTCTTGCCTAACCTTTAAAAAGTGCTTGCCTAGGAAGTTTTTGAGTGACATTATTGTAATAATGGATAAATTATCCATTGATAATAATGGATAAATTATCTAATGGATAAATAGGGAAGGAAAGTTTGAGTTAGGGGGAACAAACTCGGAGGGACACCTCGAGGACTCTTCACTTCTGGATGTATCTTTGTTCCTACCGACAGACAGACGGAAGACTGGGCATCGGAAGCCTGCTCAGTGTCACGCGAGAGCCACACTCAACTTAGGTAATTCTCAAAGGTGGGGTAGTTTTACTAACCTGTTGTGGACGTGTATAAGTGCTTGAGACTAAATCAAGTTTAGCTTTAAGTAAAAGCACTCATGTTGTCCTGTTTGTACCATCCATCTATCGGTGGGACCGTGTCTCCCCTGAATTATTTCCTGACACCACCTTGCAGAGAGTAAAAGTTACCAAGATGTGTTGAAAGAACCCAGGTTAACACACCCACCACCGTCGGCAAGTAAGCCTGCTGGGGAAGGCTGGGGCTGATTTCTCTGCTTAGCCGGAGGACCATGGGGGTGAATGGATACAGTTGCAGTCCGCATTTACCAGCCTCCCCCAAATTCCTGCGTATGGGCCTGCCCAGCTACCCACCGCCTGCCCCAGCAGCGCCCTGAGCACGCAGGGA